CTCATTCCTAAACTCTTGTATTACTATATTCGTGCCTCATCATTTTTATTTTTGATTAAATTTTTTTACTTTATTGACTTTTCCAAAGAACCAGCTCTTAGGTGTATTTATAGTTCTACTGTTGTTTTGTAATCAATTGGTTTATTTCTTATTATTTTCTTTCTCTTATTTTCTTGAGATTCATTTTGTTAATTTACTTTTGCCCTTAGCTTCTTTAACTGTCTAATTTGTTACACTAATCTTCCATCTTACAACATAAAGCATCTAAGGCTACATATTGTCCTGCAGTTACAGCTTTGACCTTTTAATATTTGTTTTGATACATAACACTGTTGTCACTAATTCCTATGTCGTTTTAGCAAGAGAGAGTTTTTTAAATTTCCAGATGCTTTAATATTTTTGTGTGTGTGTCTTACTAGTGACTGGTTTTGCATTGTGGTTCAGAGAATTTGATCCTTACAATTTCTAATTGTTTTTTAAATTAATTAAAGCTGATTTGTGGTCGCTCTAGAAATGAATTTTCTAAAATTTTTAAAAGAACATACATTCCCTACTTGTAGGTTTCAAAGATAGATCTAGGTACGTGTGTGTCTGTTCTATGCACATTATCCAAATCCTAATGTTTAGAAAATACATATTCCATACTTGTTACTACCAGAGTTTTACAAAACATGACATTCAGATCCTCTTTTTTGTTATTGTTTATGTGATCTATCAAGAACTTTGAAAGCTGAGTTAAAGTCTTCTATTAATAATTGGCTTGTCAGCTTTTTCTTTGATTTTTCACCACTTTTGGTGTATATAATTTTGTGCTACGAAACCCGATAGACTCATTATCAGATAGCAGCCTTTATCTTTTTCTTGGCGCCATCCCTCACCCTTGTCCCAATTTAGATTGGCCCTACGATGTGGCCCCACCATCTTCCTCTCTGTGCTCACCTACCCTAAGTTTCTCTGCACCATCTGTGACAGTCTATCTAGTGTCACTCCCGTGTAAACCTCATCAGACAGGTTTCATTGTTTGATCCAATTTAGGAATATTTTTCTTTTCTTTCTCTCTTTTTTTATTGAAGTATAATTGACACGTAATACTAGATTACTTTCAGGTGTACGGCCTAGTGATTCGACAATTCTATACATTCAGCTGTATCCCCCCCCCCCCCGTTAGCGTGGTCACCACCTGTCACCACGCGACGTTATCATGGAAGTGCATGCTGCGCTGTCCGTCCCCATGACTCATTTATTTTATAACTGGAAGTTTGTACCTCTTCATCCCCGTCACCTATTTCACCCATCCCCCATCCACCTGCCTTCTGGTACCCATCAGTTTGCTCTCTATATTAAGAGCCTGTTTTTAGGTTTATCTCTTTTTTACTCCCTTTGTTTGTTTTGTTTCTTAAATTCCACATATGAGTGAAGTCATATGATATTTGTCTTTCTCTGCCTGACTTATTTCACTTAGCGTAACACTCTCTAGCTCCTTCCGTGTTGTTGCAAATGGCAAGATCTCATTCTTTTTGATGGCTCAGTAATATTCCATTGTGTACAGAAACCACATCTGTTTTATCCACCCATCAGCCAGTGGGCATCTGTGCTCTTTCTATAGTTTGGTCGTTGTTGATCCTGCTCTTGTAAACATAGGGTGTGTGGGAATATTTGTCTTTAACGGAAGAATTTAAAGCATCCACATATATTGTCCCAACTGGCCCATGTGATGTTTCTGGCATTTAATTGTGCTTTCTGGCCCTTTTTTCCTTCATTTTTTATATTTTACTGTATTTCTCAGGTTTCTTTGCTCTCTCACTTACTCTTACTCATTTCTCTGTTGTCTGCAGAATTTTTTTAGAAATGGTATGTAGGTGAGCCCCTGCACATCTGAAACTTTTATCTTTTACATAAAGCTAGGTTGACTAGACAGACATCTTTGGTTCATTTTAGTTTCTTCACAAAATTCTGCAGTTACGGTCTCATTGTTTTTCTGTCTATAATATTGTGGAGGAAAAGTTTGATGCCTTAATTAGTTATCTATCTATTGCTGTGTAATAAATTACCTCCAAACTTAGGGCTTTAAAACAGTGAGCGTTTGCTATGTCATAGTTTATTTGGGTCAGGAATGCAGGAATGGCTTGGCCAGGTGATTCTAGCCCAGGGTCCCTGATGAGCTGCAGTCACAGTCAGGGAATTGGCCAGGGCTCCGCTCACATGAAGCCTTGACTGGGCTGAGGATGTGTTTCTGCAGTGGCTCGCTCACCTGGCTGTTGGCTGGAGGCCTCGGTTCTCCCTCGTGGGCTTCTGCAGAGGCCGCGTGAGCATCTTCATGTTATGGCGGTTGGCGTCCTTCCAGTGGGTGACCCGGGAGAGGGCCAGGCACCAGCCGTGATGCCTTCTGTGAGTTCATCTTGGAAGTCACACACTGTCCACAGCTCACACAGGCCAGTGACAGCTGAGTGCGTGAGGATTTCAGAAGGGCATGAGATCCAGGAGGCAGGAGTCATCGGCCCCCCCTGGAGGCTGCCCACCACACACCAAAATAACTCTTCCCTTTAGGTCCTTTACGTATTTTGTTGCTGTTATTGTGTTTTCTCCTGTGTAGATGACTTTTTTAATCCTTCATTTCATTTGAGAGTAAGATTTTTCACCAGAACACCTTATTATGGGCGCCTCTTTTAATTGATTGTGTGTGCAGTAGCACGTGTGTGGGTGTGTGTGATATGTGTGGTTTGTGCAGTGTGTGTGCACCCATGGAGAGCGGGGCCGAGCGGGGCACAGAACCCCCGGTCCTTCAGCAACCCCTCCCCTCCCATAGCAGACAGGACAGGATGGGACTCAAGGCTCCCCGGCTGGGGGCAGCAGGGCGAGGGCCGTAGAGGACAGAGCTGCACCCACATCCCAGTGCTCAGCCCTGCCCAGTCCCCACCCTGCCCTGCCAAGGTCCCACAGCGACCACAGCAGCCGTCACCAGTGGTTGATGGCTCTGGACCTCTTTGCTCTGACTGATGCAGCCTGACTTCCTCCGGCTTCCAGGTTCTTCGGGAAGCCCCTCGCTTGCCCCTCACGCCACCTTTCCGACCCGCGCCTCAGCCAAGGGCTGCCCCCAGCCCTCCCTGAATGAGCCTTCCCTCAGCCAGGAGCTCGCCTTCCTCCAGCCAGTCCCCTCCGTCTGGGCACATCCAGCACCCCATGCAGGAAGCTCCCCTGGATTCCCTGGCACACCCACTGGGCTTGCTTTAGTCTGGGCAATCGTCACCGCCCTGCTGGGTCACAGCCTCTGCCTGCAGGGTCATGGCCTCTTGACCTGACCATGACCTTTGCTGGGGAGGCAGGGCCCTGTCCTGTTCACCCCTAACTTTACCAGGACCAGCCCCTCTTACCGTCAACCCAAGCGACCTTGAACCTTAAACTTGCCCCCCGCCCAAATCCACCTCCTCTCAAAAGAGGTGATGCGCTGAGGGGCATCACCAGGGAAACCACACCAACTGCCCCCAGGGCCCAGCCCACCAGTGCTCCCCACTGGCAGGCCAGGAGTCCCTGCTGGGGCAGCATTCTCTGCTGTGGGGGCTCTGAAAGGCAGCGAGGCGTTTATGTGACCCAGGTTGCGCGAATCCCGCCAGAACCAGCCCCTTCCTCTCCCTCCTGGTCCCCAGAGGCCACCCAGCCACCCACCCATGCCCTAGGCCGTCTCCCCATCTGTCTGGTGGCAAGGGGCAGCGAGCAGCAGGGAAGCCTCGGTCCCCACGAAGACATGACAGGACACGGTGAGCCGCACTGGGGAAGGACCCCCCGCCATCCAGCGCCGCTGTTCCCCCAACAGAGCGGGACCCTGGCACTCACCGCCTGCCAGCCCCCCGGGCCTGTCTGCCTCTCATCCCCCCCACCCCATCCCAAGGCCGCTCCCCCTGGTCTGTCAGCATGGGGTCAGCTGGATGGCTGGCATCGACCGCCAAGGCCACCCTGCCCCAGCCTGGGCCTCTCCTCCCCTCCCCTGCTACCCCT